AGCAATCGTAATTGCTTGGGACTGAGAAATATGCTTGAACTAAATAACTGGAAATGCAAGCGCCGGCGGTCAAGGGGAAGTGAGCGCATTTATCGTTGGTGCCCACCTCAACATCTGCTTATAGTATCCTTGTTACACTTGAAGCGGTACGTCCGCAAAGATTTATACAATATAAATTGTCTCAAGATCTCCAGAGATTGATTGACTGATAACTATTTTGACGGACAACATCTTTTTCCGTGACACACCTTCCACTCAAACGCCCACAAACTGTTTACGTTTTTTTTGTTAAGTGATTCTTCCTGATCAAAGTTGTTCATGATCAGGTCCACTTGAGTTAAGAATATGTTATTTTATATATTTGGGGTTGTAATCGCAGTTTTAACTACGAATTAAAATTCGTTGGTGTCATTTGAGCTTTATTGATATATATATGAGTCATACCTGAAGATCCAATATGCCCATATATGGTAGCAAACTTCAAGAATCCCATTTCTGTAATCTCCATTGTAATTTCCCAAAATTTTAAACGATCCGCGTGCACAAAAGATGACGGCATAATAATAATAACAATGATATTGATAATGACAATAATAATTAAGTTTTGTTTTCTGAAGAAAATTGCCTGTGTAAGTCTGTGACGTGTTTGCATAAAACTATGGATTTTATTAGGAAAGATTTTTGGAAAGTATTTCAGTTTTGATTGTTCAGAAACCAGCGTTGACAGCGTGTTTTACAAATACCGCGACTTTTATATCAATAAAGACTTTTCTAATTTCTGTTTCTCTTATTCAATTCCTACTGATTATAATATTTAGATATCTGTTATATAAGTTCAAACATTTTTGAAAGGGGTGAAAAATTTACTTGGTCGAGTTGAACGGCTGCTTACAAAGGACCATATATGGACTTAAGTTGTTTATCGTCCGTTAACTTTGTGTATGTTTGCAGTTAACACCCACTCGGCCCTCAGTAGGGTAATGCCATACTTTCAAAGTTGCTTCATTTAAATTTTCTCAAAATGTCGGTCAACCGTTTCGGTTCACTCAGTAAATTGCCAAACGGGCGGCAGCCCTTTGGGAGAATACTCCGAGGATAGAAAACACAATCCATTCTACCAAAGATCTAAAGAGCCACAGGCCACATACGAAGAAACCTTGATATAACGAAGGGGAAAAGGACAGGCAAAATGTATTCGCTATAATTAGGTTTCGTGATATCGAGGTTCTTTTTCATACATTTTACTAATACTGGGGCAAAAAAAAAAACGTTCGTTATACCGAGCACTTCGTTTCAGTGTACTCTTCAAAAAAAATTAATTAAGAAAGAGGGTAGCTTTCTGTAAGAAATACCATTATCTAGCCAACCTCTTTAGAAACCCCCACACAGAATACTAGTTTGCTTTTACTCCCTGTAAAATCACACCAAACTGAAACAGACGACGTCATAAAACTGAGCAAATGTCAAACGCGCGGATAGCAAATCGTGCTGTAATTCTAGGCTCTCAAAGTAGGTAAAAACTAATCATGTACGTAAAGAGGCTCTTGACCTCATGATAAGGTCAGTTTCTTCATTTTCCTGTTTCACTATCTTAAACGTTCCTGCCCACGTATGATCCTCTAAACGTTTCCTCTGAGTCTTTCCGCGGTGGTTTTTGTGCGTCAAGTGCATTTTGTTGTTTTTAAGTGGCTAGAATCACTGAGGAAGATGCATCCTCTAAATCATTGTCAATTTGCTATTTTAGGCCAAGTAAAAAAAAAAACAAAAACAAAACAAACAAAAAAACAAATGTTTCTCGTTCCAGCCCGTTTTACAGTTTTGGGGCCGCCTCTCTTTTTTATGACCCGACATCAAAAAAGTTGAAACGAAGAAAAAAGAAAAAAATAGGGGTCACTTTCAACACCAACTATTCTACAATCCTGTCTAACAGCGATACTTTTCATGAGTCCTATATTGACATTTTTTATGTAAACAGCAGTTAGATGATTATTCTCTCTTGAGCCTGCCTATTGGGATACATCGTATGACGCATCACATTGTATCAGGAGCCCATGGGCTCCTGGTTGTATACATGTTTTAAAAAATGTATCAAAGTATATATAAAAAAACCGTAGAAATCCGGACGAGAAACATTTGTTTTGTTTTTACTTGTCCTTAGGTTTAGAGATTTATGTGAGCGCGCAATTTTTCACCCGGAAATAAACACACGCACTGGCTGTATAATGAACGAGGGGGAGCGTGAATCATGTTCTTCTTACTTAAGAAGTCTCTACTTTCCATTGATTGATTATTCAAAGTTTTGATTATGAGTATGCTTTGTTGCTAAGAAAAAGTTCCCGACTGGTAAAAACGACTGGCCGAGTTGGACCTGGGACTGAAATATGATCAGTGGTATCCAGTCTTTCGCTGACACACCGCTGACGGCTGTTTATGATGTTCAACCAATGAGATTTCACCGCGTAGAAAAACCTAAATGGCGGCAAAACAGTGAGAATTTCCTGTCTGACAGTTGTTTATGTGTGTATAAATTTGACCCGGGTTCCGTCAATTTGGGAGGACACACTCGGCTCACGCCGATAAATTATAAAGGACGCCGAGGAAATATGCAGTTCGACGTTCGAAGGTGAGGTTTTGCATAGCACCCTTGTATAGATACAGCCATTCGGATGTTTGGTAATACAAAAAGGTTTTGTCCAAATTTCTGCCCAAAATAAACCGAGCCACGTGTCAAAACACACCGGTTTGTCGCTTGAACGCGCTTGATTCCTTACCACTTTTCAAGTTTTTGGTAAGCAAGTGTTCAAATGCCATGCTTGCAACACGTGGGTTTGGTGTTAAAATTTAACCACTGCTACTCAAGTAGTCAGTTTGCAACTAAAATTTAGTTGCTAGGCTGTTTTGGCAAGCTTAACTGATGAGCTTTTTTCAGCTGCTACAATGTACATACAATTCAAGGATTGGTGCTTTTATGAGGGATAAATTAAATTTCTTATTATAGTTAAATATTACTGTATATAATGCACTGGTGTTTTGCATCTGGCTGGTAATTTGAGAGCTATGTATTTTATAGCCTCACGAAATAAACTCTAAAATAAATAGTGGATGTAGCGCCGTCTGACATTTTTGGGAAATAATGCTAGTTTAATTGCTATTAATATTTTATCAATTCTTTAATTGCAGAACTAGTGATATTTAAAATACAGTCAACTCTCGCCTACCAGACACCCTGATAATATGAACAGCAGCTAAATTCCAGGCAAAAATAAACTGCAGACATTTGTCTGATATAGACTCTTACTATTATGGAATCTCGCTAATGAGGCACTAAGGGGGCAATTACAGTGTACATGAGACCGGGACGAACTCAGGCCTGTGCGAATTTGTAATTTTTGCAGTTGTTTACATGATGTCCTAACTGGTTCACAATTTACGCCAATTAAGACAGTGAATAGAGAACCGTAGATTTTACTGCTCCCAGAAAATTGTAAACTTTATCTAATGCTCATCTGGTGGCATGTTAAATGCACATCATCTCAAAATGGTGCAATCCCTCACATTAACTGAAACATATATTTAATTAAAGCTACTTCCAAGTCTTGTTTACAGTTATTCATAGCAGTGTTCTTATTTTGCTAAAAAAAGCAAAAATGATAGAGCCATACGAAGAAACATGCTATGTTATGGACCCAGACTGAGATTCATTTCCGTTTTACATGAGAACGGTATAGTCCCAGACTGGTACGAAAATAACCCGTGTTGGGTGAGTGACCGACACGAAGTCAGACCGCTCTGAGTTCGTTTTTAGGCTGGTCCCATGTAAACGCATGAAAAGAAGTGTATGGAGAGTGATGCCGACTCATATCGGTCCGAGTTCGTCCCGGTCTCATGTAATTACCCCCTAACTCGAGGTCCCTACAGTGTCCGTTGTAAAGGGAATTGACTGTAATGGGCCACCTATGACTCCTATTTACTTTATCTTCATCTTGTAGAATGAAAAGAAGCATTTGTAAAACAAAATTAGCCATCTTTCTCTTTCTCTTTTGTTAAAAGTTGAGCGTTGTTGTGGTCATGTAAGGGTTTTCCTTTTTCTTAGATTTGATGTTTACAGAAAAGTGCCAAAGGACTTAACAGAACCCACTTTAACAGGAGCAGTTAGTAAGTGGTGTTTTGTCTTAGATGCAAAGAAAATAGTGTGTCTTACATGCAGCAAGTTTTAAGATAATTTTTCAAAGCATCACAAGAAATTTAAGGTGATCAAAAAGGAGAGAAAGTTTTAAGTTTTAAAGTGTCATCAGCTACAGCCAGGAGCAGCAGAGTGCTTACGTTTGTCTGAATCTTACCTTGAAGTTCCTAGAAAGAAGGAAAAATTAAGTTTAAGGTAGTTCCCTTGTTTTGTACTGTGCATCACCTAGTGCGCATACTATTGCGACTTCAAAGGTGGCGGTGATTTTCACTGGTTGCCTAAAAAGAGGTCATTATGGTTCCTTTTAACGATTTTTATAATTCTACCTGGCTAAAAAGGTGTTTGTCTTGAAACTCGCCCCAGTCCCCTTGTGTAAAATGATCATTTGAAACGGAAATTGTCCCTTTGTTGTCGTTTTGCCAGGAAACAAGATCTGTGACCCCCCTTTTTTATTTGTGTTTCACACTCGCTATGGCTACACAAAATAATATAATAAGGCGAAAAAAATCTGGATAGAAGAAGTTGTATTTTTTAAGAATGACTTGCATTTTGGTATTTAGAGCCTCAGAGAACTAACAGATAATGTTAAAACTTTCCATTTCTTTTTACAACATCAGGTGCTCTGAAGTAATTAAATTTAAAACATACATGTATATATGTAGCCCAGACAAACAAGGAGGCTTAAGGTTTTAGTAAGATTCGTAGTAGTTTTTGCTTTACAATGAGAACTTTTGATGGTTGTTTAAGTTTCGAACATTTCGCCCGCAACTAGGAAAAAACACTACAACAACAGCAACATTTAATTTCATTTTTAAATTACCAATAATTATTTCAAACATTGACAACCCGCAGTTAGCATAGCTAATTGAGGCAGGTCGTCAGAAATAAGAACAAAAATTAACATTCGCTTCTAGTAATGTGACTGAAACTGAGGAAAAATAAATTATAGAGACTTTGTAATATAACCGATTTGTTTGATGCGGAGAGTCTTTCTAGTGTTTCCTCAAAGTGATCTTTTTGAAAGCATTCTCAGTGGTGAATTATGCTGCCTATAGATAATTCTGCAGATTATGTTGGGGGACCCAGAAAATTGAATCTTAATCCATAATGCCTGGAAAGCTTTTTTGGAGGTTCTTTCTCTCAGCATATAATTTAGAGAATCTGTAGCATACGTGCTAACACCTCCAGCAGCTAGAGGTATCGGAACTTATTCAAATGAGTAACCTGGTATAGAAGGATTAAAATCTAACCCCTTTTCTTCTGTAATTTTTGTTTCAGAAATACAAATAACACTGAAACCATATTTCAATTCATCCAGCAAATGTATTTGCAGATTTTCTAGGTTGCTTCTTTAACTCCTAACATTGTTATGAAACATAGAAAAGTTAGATTTGTTTGGCGAAGATAGTTGTTTGTTCAAAATACTGAAGCTATGCGGAGAGTAATAATGGCTTTGGATACGTTGATTAAAGAGATTGGAGTCAGGATTTATGGCTGCTTGGACATTTAAAGTAAATAAATCTAAATCATGAATACTTGAAAGCTTCTCAAGATATTTTTTCGTAGGTAACGCATCAGATAACAAGTTATTGAATTGTCCATGGCAATTTAGGATATTTACACCATGATTTGGCAACTCTTTAAGGATAGATTTTACAGTTTTATGAGTCATTCAGTGACACACTGCACTGGTCACAGTTTTGTTTGACACTATAATAATAATAATTATTATATATTATACACACGTGAACTTGTACAGTGTACACTATTCTGAGTCACTTGAGTGCAAAGTTAGTTGTTGACCAGCTTTTCGGACAAAATATGTTGCATTACTCCTGAAAGAGCCTCAGATTCATGTTCAATTTATACCTTTGTTTGTATCTCGGCAGTCTCCATTTGCAGTGCCCTATTTATAGTGTTCTTATTGCTGTCAGAGTTCTACAGCTTTATAAGCACAGAACTGTAAGTAATTTGCTTTATGTTTCTTAGTGCTAAGAAACTACATGTATGTGGTGGATTGGATTTCACAAATGTCCCAATTGGGCATAGTTTGAAGCTTGGAACTGCAATACCTAAGTGATACAATAATGTAATGTCCAGGTGCTATTATATTTTAACTATTTTAATTCATTAAAATCTCTTTGGTCAAGGTAATATTATCTCACTGGGAATTAGCAAAGAAATCTTCATGATTGTGCATTTAAACACAGAAATGGTTACATACTGTACTCATACAGCTGTACATGTACGTGTATTTATGGGTACATAAACTAATATGAATTATTTTCCTTTAGTTGGGTACAGAAAGAGAGATGTCCGAACAAGAAGAAAATAACAGTGAAAATCACAATCACTCGACAAACACCTATTAGGTTGACTTTTACTGTCTAATCTACACTTTGAATTATATTGTAAGCCAAGAATGAAGTGTGAACGTAAGTACACTGTAGAAAAAATATTTACTGGATTCAGTAATCCCATGCCCTTATTGAACATAGTATGTACATGTAATAACATTAAAGAGCATAGTCAAAAAACCCCTTGCAAGTAAAGGTGGAGTGACAGTCTGGGTGTCAATCCAAAATGCCCACTCATATAGTCTTAGGGGCCATTTACACGTGTGTGGTCAGAACTGGTGAGCACACCAATTTGTGGGTGGGAAAAGTCATGATTTCAGCCTAATATGTTGCAGCCATGTCCTTGCGAATTTGATGTAGACCAAATTAAGGGAAACTTTTCTGTGATTTACTCATTAAAATACCAATTTAATTTTTTTAGAAGCCAGGTCCATAATGCTTATGCTCCTACTGACTGTCCAGCCAAGGCACACATCTTGTTGGAAAACAATAAAACCAATGTACATTTACTTAAACATAAATGAGCCTCTACTGCTTTAAAAAATAGCCCATTGACAAGATATTCTTGTGTCATTTTACAGATCTTGGTCTGGATATCCAGGATGAAATGGGAAGGTAATGGAGTCTATTTTGGTCTTGTGCAAAAACTACGTCCTTTTGTCCTAATTTTTTTTGTAACATACATGTAGCTTTTGATCTGTGCAGAAAAATGCACATGAACCTTTAATTGTCATTGTCATTTAATTAAAGATACATGTAAGCAATAGGTAGCAGTTTCTGTCTCTTGTCATAGCTTTATACATTAGTTATCATTTTGGTCCTATAAATGAAAGTTTTGTTTCTTCCACTAGGCATGAAGTGGGTTTTCAGGAAAACACACACAGAGAAGAAATAAACCATGGAGGTTTAAAAACATTATTTTTAATATTTTTTGTGACCGTTTTAAATGCTTGTGTGAACTAGTACAAGTATGTGGTTGTTTTTGTTCTTTATGGGGTACACTGTATTATTAATGTCGTCTTGTTTTGCTCTGATTGCAGAGGGATGTAGGTTCTCTGGCTTGTTTAACATAAACAAAGTATGCAAACCTTATACTTTATTATGAGTCAATTTGGTTAAATATTGAGCATTGTATAGAGGATTGTAACTACACTGTAAAATCTACTGAATTCAAGTCCTTGTATTAATGTGCTAACAGTACACATTTCAGTCAGTGGGCTTTTTCATCCCTTTGGGAAGCTACACTTTAATACTCATGTTTGTTAATTTGAGATTGTTCTTTAAACATTGCCGAAAAATATTTTGTTTTTACAGTTGACATTTTCAATACCAGACAGCCAATTTTCAAACCTTACAAAGTCACTCTTTTGAGGCCCCCCTCCAATTCTCGAGACTCGAGACTCCATCCTCGAAAGTTTCGAGAATCGAGTCTCGAGTCTCGGGGATTGAGATGCCAGAGACTGTCGACTTACTTTTGAGCGGTACTGTAGGATGCCTGAACAGAAGTCTGGAGTGCAGTTTTTATTTGTTAATGGTACTTGCATGTATGTAATTTTTTCTAGGTACCTGGAAATTTTCATGTTTCTACTCATGGTGCAGGCCAACAGGTGCAGTATTCATTAATAAGAATTTAATTCTTACAACATAAAGTGAGAATGAGCTACAGTGTATAGTGGTTTTTATGTGAAATGAGGCAAGTGGCTTACATGTACATGAAAATGAGGCAAATTTGTGGCAGATAGAAAATGGCCAACATTCATCCTTTTTAACCTAATCAAAAAACATATACACAAGTAGGAAACAGTCTGTCAACTGCAGCCTTTACAGTGGTTACCAATAGCATGCGCCCTCAAAAAGTTTTCTCTCAGATGAAACTTGAGATTGCTTGTCCAAACATCAATCGTTTCCATGGTTTTTTCATTTGTTTCATCTGTTTGGTACAGTGTAGAAATGCTTTTCTGATATTTATCCACAGCCAGATAACCCAGACATGGCACATATAATTAACTCTATCAACTTTGGAACAGAAATTAAGGTACTGTAAGTTGTAAATCATATTGCACTTGTTTTTTTTTGACCCAAGATCATCATGACTTCAGCTGTCTTTGGAGGAGTAACTCTGCTCAGCTCACTAATCGGAAAAAAGATTACTCTTTTAGAAAAAAACTTCTTGGCTTGTATGTTTTATTTTTCCAGTAAAGGTCTCAGGGGAATTGTGCATTTGAATAGTACGAACTTTTAACGAAACAGTTCTCTAGAGTACTATCACCTACACTGACCTACATTGGAAAAACAAAACATACAAGTTAATGAGGTCTTTGATTAAGTGTTTTGAAACTGCTCTTGTTGCCACAGAAGGATTGCTTAGAACATTCTTCACCCCCTGGTTAGTCAAACGTTGGATAGCACTTTGAAACGGATAAATCACTCTCCAGTGGGTAAGGGAAACCAAGTGAATCCACTGAATAGAGATTTATCCAGTGGATAGCTTTATTCACTTTTGAAGAATTTGGCACTGGCACACTAATAACTATAAAGCACCCTAATGACCAGGTCTTTACCTCCCCCTGTATTCAGATTTTCTTCTTATGAATTTTCCTAGAAAACATATGTAACTCCTAGGAAGGATGATCATTTTTACCTGGCCAAAACAGTTTCAGTTTCGTCCTGTGTTGTGTTTCTATGTTTAGCTGCATGGAAATTAAGATTTTTTTTTCTACTTTATAGGAGAAAATACCGGGTGCATTTGTGGCATTAAAAGGGCAGAACAGAGAGCACGTAAATAGTAAGTACAAAGTCATGATATTTTAATATAATTATATTAAATCAATGTATCCTTTGGTTGCAGTTTCTATAAATTTTTTTTTTCCAGATCGTCCTCTTACCTTCTGTTAAGATTTGAATCCACCACTATTAAAATTAATTCCGTCAAATTTCGAAAACAAGCCCCTCCATGTATAAGCCCTCCAAATATAAGCCCTCCAAACCGGTAACGCAAAAAACCCTCCGTTAAATCGCCCCTCCAAATATAAGCCCCCTGAAGGCCTTGTACTTGGAAAATTGCCCTCAAATACAAAGTCAAGCAAAGCAAAAACGGTAAATTAATTTACTTCCAACTATAAGGCTAGCCCAATGGATTTTGAAACGCAAATTTCCGTCCGTAGATAAGCCCCTCCGAATATAAGCCCCTGAAAAAGGGTCTTTGAAAAATATAAGCCCCGGGGCTTATTTTCGGAATTTTACAGTATAGCAGTACATGTTCAGGGGGACTGTATATTAAAGTTAGCCTGAAGGGGCATAGTGGGAACCAGATTCTAATTTTTCTCATAATATTAGAATTGAATCTCAACAATAACACAAACCGGATTCATGTAACATCCATGTGCATTTTCAAATAAGGTAAATATTTTCTGTTTTAGGTTTGTCCTCACATGATTATGTATTGAAGATTGTTCCTACAATCTATGAGAAGTTGGATGGAAGCAAAACATTCACCTACCAGTATACCTGGGCTTACAAGGTTGGCACGCCAATTAACTGCAAGTACAGATAACAAGTGCTACTACAATCATGTGTAGTTCCAAAATACATACTTTATGTACACTGTATGTTGAGTCTTGTTCTTCGAGCCAGTTTGCTTTGAGCTATAACAGATGCGAGAAAATAGATGTGAACTAAAATGTAGTGCTAATGCTAATGTAAACTTTGTACCACAATGAAAACTACTAGTTTTCCAGTAATTGTGTCATCCATAGAGGATATTACATGGCCGTGCAGAGATACGAAATTTCTCTTCGAGTGTTGAAAAATATTTCACGAGTGAGAGCAGCGAACGAGCGAAATATTTTTTCAACACGAGAAGAGAAATTTCGTATCTCCAAGCGGCCATGTAATTTTCTATTTATTATATAAACACCAATGAACTACCAAGCCATTTCACTTTAATATTTTTGTGGTGTGAAAGGCGCAATTTATTATGTAGTCATAGCAACGGTGATATTTTGACATGTGAAGATAACATGTTATTTTCACATGTGAAGATATCAAGTTTTCGCGCGAAAGCTCACCTGGTATTTCATTGGTGTTTATATAATAGAATGAAGTCTTAACTTACTTGCTAATAATACAGTGTGGCCGAAAAAACGGTCATTTCTTGGTAGGATCGCAAAAGTTTCAGAATGCAAAGGATTCCAACTTACATGTAACAATACCCATACTACGACACACAGTACACGTAGGTAACAAACACCGCACCCCCCCCCCTCTCTACCAAACATTTTTTTGCCAGATTGGCCATGATAATTCGTTTTGTTCACTCTATGCACTCAACAATAAACGTGGAAATTACATGTAGGTAACTAAATATAGAAATTTAGCCGTTATACTTGAGCCTTAAAGGCCACAGTGTAGATGATCTCCTTACCTGCTATGTTATTGCCCATCTGTAGGATTACGTTGCTTACGGACATGGAGGACGGATTTTACCGGGTAAAGTATCAATAGTGTGCTTTCAAGATTGCAGTAGCAGGGCTGTCATGAGGTTTTAAGAAGCAGGTCTCCCAGGGAAAGTAGCCGGTTATTTCTCCTTCAAATTCTCCTGTATTTCTTGTTTTGTTATGCGTAACTCATTTTAAAACTTAGAGTAGCCGGCTGATTTATTACAGTAGCAGGCCACTAATGACAGCCCTGAGTGTACCGAGCTACCCAAAATTGTCACAGTTTGTAACTTGACCCTCACATCAGACATCAGCCAAACAGCCAAAAAGTTTATTTTTATTTTATTGTTCAGTAGATGTGCATGTATTTAGCAGTACTGCAGTATTAGAAATACGTGTATCGCAGAACCTCGCTAGGCTCAGCGGAGGAGGCCTATAAAATATCAGGGATGGGAGGGCGGGACAAAATGCTTTCTTATTCATACTAAAGCATGCCGTATATGTTCTTGTTTTAGCCATTTGGTTTCGGTATGATTTAAGCCCCATAACAGTAAAGTATGTGGAGAGACGCAAGCCTCTTTATCACTTCATAACCACGGTATGGTCTAACAATTTATTCACTGTCATTCTTACGAAAGATTTGCATCAGTTATTTTAGCAGGCTTATCATAAGAATTAGATTCAGAAGTTGCTCTTGGAGACTTTTTTTCCGGATCATATTTACTGTAAAAATCATCTCTGAATGTTTGCAATCGACCAAGTTACATATATGTTACCTGTCTTTTTGCTTCTTTCAGGTGTGCGCAATCGTTGGAGGAACATTTACTGTGGCTGGAATAATCGACTCCATTATATTCACGGCTAGTGAACTATTTAAAAAAGCTCAACTTGGAAAGTTAAGCTAGTCGAGACCATTTATGACGCCCTCGATTGTCTTTTTTCTAAACACAAATCCTTGCTCAGGCAGATCCAACGACTCACTGGTAATATCATTCCTCGTGTTGTGCAATGCATTGTTGCAGTGCATTGAATATAAAGTACTTGAAATGTAGAAGTCATACCCTCGGTTTCAAGTTCGTAGTACATTTTTTGTACGCTTAGCATCTATATTTAATTGTATTCCAAAGCGTGTCGCCTATTACACTTTCTGTATATTCCTATTGTAATTCCAGAGTTCAATCAATCGAGAGTACCATAATTGTTTTTTGAGTAAGTTAATGATAGTAAAAACTTTAAAAATTCATCTATCAACAGTTTATCATAGGCTGTTTGCCATGTTTTCTTTTGTAAAAATATTCTTAAGCATTTCTTTATTTCATCATTTTTGCTTGAATCAGAATACTGTTATGGAGTGTTTCGTATGTGATTTTCAAATGTTTTTAATTGTTATATTTAGAGAATTTTAAACGACGTAAATTATATTGTACTTGTAGTTGTGATGTCAGATTTTGGATACTGTTGTTGATTATTTCTAGCGAAAGAAAAAGTGCATTTTGGGTGTATAATGGGTTAGGGGTTGAGATGAATAAAACTGATACCAATGTTCCAGTAGTACGTTGTTCTTTTAATTTGTTTGGCAGAAAATCAAAAAAAGGAAACGAGCTGAAATTCATGAAACTTGTATTTCGCAAGATCTCACGCGTCTGTTCACACCAGCAACATTGTAACGATGTACAACGTGAGAAAGTGAGGAAACGATATATACATATGACAACAGAAAAACCCTCATCTTTATATTAAGTTACCAGTGTGAGCCAGGCCCAACACGCATTTATGACTACCTTATCCTCAGGGGTCTGTCCTTGATACTGGAAGCGGCACTTGTGGTGTGAAGGGAGCAATGCCACTGAATTCGGAATTTGTAATTGCCCCAATGGACCGCGCTTCGCGTTTTACCTTCCACCCATGCGTTCCCTTTTTTCCGCGTTTAAGTCAAAGAGCACAAGTATATTGACATCTTGAAAATGAAGAAGTGATCGTCGCAGTGAACGCAATTTATGCAATTTCGTAAAGAAGCCTGAAAAAAATTCAGGACTTCAACGTGGTTTGAACCCGTGACCTCGCAATACCGGTACGATGCTCTACCAACTGAGCCATGAAGCCACTGACGTTGGGAGCAGGTCAATTGTGGGTTCATATGTTCCCGTGAAAGAAATGAGTGTTAATCATATGTGAAATAAAACATGTATGAACTGCGGAAATGAAATGAAAATGAAGAAATGATCGTCGCAGTGAACGCAATTTATGAAATTGCGTAAAGAAGCCTGAAAAAAATTCAGGACCTCAACGGGCTTTGAACCCGTGACCTTGCAATACCGGTGCGATGCTCTACCCACTGAGCTATGAAGCCACTAACGTTGGGTAAAAGAAATGAGTGTTAATCATATATGAAATAAAACATATATGAACTGCGGAAATGAAATGAAAATGAAGAAATAATCGGTGCGATGGTCTACCAACTGAGCTATGAAGCCACTGACGTTGTATGTTTTATTTCACATATCATTAACACTCATTTCTTTCACGGGAACATATGAACCCACAATTGACCTGCTCCCAACTTCAGTGGTTTCTTGGCTCAGTTAATAGAGCATCGCACCGGTATCGCGAGGTCACGGGTTCAAACCCCGTTGAAGTCCTGAATTTTTTTCAGGCTTCTTTACGCAATTGCATAAATTGCGTTAACTGCGACGATCATTTCTTCATTTTCATTTCTTTTCCGCAGTTCATATATGTTTTATTTCATATATCATTAACACTATATTGACATCTTGTTTGTACTTGTTTTGTATCCAGGCTTCTTGAGAACGTATTTTTGTCCATCCCAAGGCCTCCAAGAGCTTTTTAGAGCGAGTCAGGATTTCTGAAACAAGATTTGGCTATAATCATTATGATGGGGCAATTTCGAAGTCAAATAGCGACATATAATTGTAAGGGTGGGCAGTGTTAGCCTCCTTTAAAATTCTCGTCTTACCCTATTCCAGATATACTTCTCCTTCTTAGCCCGCCCAGATGCCCTGGACCTCTTTCAGATACCAACTTTAAATCCCTGGTGACGACCCATTGCAAACTGAGTTCTGTGTCTTCGTTTTTAGTATACTTTTACATATTATCCCGAACATTTGGAAGCGTATTATGGAAAACAGAAACAGCGAGACAAAACTACCCGCGAAATAAGTGAAACCGCCGAAACTGGCTAATAGAGAGATCAAGATTCATGTTTACACCAAACGGCAAACGTGAATTTGTACCACGTGACCAAGTTTTCCCTTAATTGTCGTTAACTGTTCATTACTTCAACTAAAAAATAGGTAGATTCATGACAGTTTGCTAACGCCAAAGCCAAACCGATCATCGAAGAAAGTTAATACGACCGAAAAGAAATAAACCTAACTAATGAAACAAGCGAAATGAACGAAAACGAGAACGAAAACGTCTAAACAACGAGAAGGAAAAAATCAAGTAGTCTAAGGGATAGTCGATACTACCTACTCACCAATAAAACATAAAGTAATAACAACTATGTATTAAAATCTATAGTATCCGCACCTCAATCCAATCAGAATTAAAATCGAAAAGGCTTGAGACGGGAGACAACTCATCAGTATGTTTTCTGGGAATGGAAAAAGACTGGCAAATTGCTTCAATGATCATTGGACCGGAAACAAACAGAAAAACAAAAATCAAAATAAAGGAATTTAATCCAGATTTGTTATAGTCAGCTATTTGAAAATCATGGACCAAAAGGCATTGGATTACTAAGTAAGGTTAGCATGTTCATACTTAAGTAACTAAGCATTGGCCACGTAGTAGTAAACATTTACTACATTAATGCTTTTGCCTTTCTCGGAAAAAGAACGGATATTCTCAGTGGACAGAAGGGTTTAACTACGAGTGGGGTTCGCTGTACACACACAGGTAAGAAAGTCCCTAACCTTTACTTAATAGAGACGTTGCGACTCATCTTTACTGATTGGGTACCGGTAAATTTCTAGTATCCGTAGCCATGAATACCGTTAGATTGCTTCTTACTCCGGAGAAACGCGCCAGGCTACGCGTAGAGTTATTATGCCAGAACTACTCTCGGTAAACATGGTCGTTTCAATATTGTACATGGAAAATATGCTCCCCTAATCGTTCCAGTGGGCACAAATGGTGTATCTTACAATTAAGGTTCCTAAGTACTCAGTCTCGTACTCGCAATTTTACCTTGAAAGTCAAATTCATTAAGAGCACTTTTGACCACTTGAAGCAGGAGCATGTTTACATTCAACTGCCGTCGATTCACTCAGTGAAACCACCCCCCCCCCCCCACCCCCCCGTCTGGGAATTGAAGCTACATTTCTTATATATATAGGCGAATACTGCATAATGATAATTATAATAATAATCATAATAAACAACAACAATTACATCAAAAGAGTTCTCTCTGGATATGCTTGGAAGTTTTTGCAAATCATGGAAAAAGTTGTTGGTAGGTAGTCATGGGGATTAATTGCGATTCATAAGGCTTATGATCTGAAAACACTCGCTGCGTCCTACTACGGCTCGAATGGGGTTTTCGTTCCGCGGTTGTTACGCTTCGTTCGGTGGTTGGACCACTTTCCTGCGGGTCCTTTTTGCTATTTGGATGAATTCGTATCATTTGTCTCGGTGGTTTTGCGGATTTTGTTTGTTATTTTGGGATTTAGTACATGCCTTACGAATAGTTAGTTCGATGTAGACGATAATTTGTATCGCGAGTGGGTAACTTACAGTACTTTTCCTTTTGTAATGTACCAAAAATATCATTTCGGAATACTTAGCAACGTTATAACACTGTTCATACTTAGGTCACTGAGTACGCTAGTATAAGCCTGAGAAATCCGAGAAGATTTCAAAGACCATAACAAAATGCCATTTCTGGGAAAAAACGGATGTATCAACCGTAAGTGATACGTCTAAAGTACAAAGTGGTACGTCTAAAATACGTCTAACATGTAAATAATTTCTCTCGTACTTGCGTTCGCCTTTACCTTCGATTCGCACTTCTAACTTCTTAGCAAACCTGTTCAGTTTGCGCTATAGACCGACGAGACAATTATTTGATTATTTGATTTCGAGAATAATCAAGATCTTGGTGAGATTGGTACGTGTGCCTCGGCTTGTAACATTTACGTTTGACCTAGTTCTAGTTGATTACTCTGGAGATCACAAAAACCCTCCTCCAGCAACTAAAGAATTCCCTTATATATACACAGTTGACATACTAAGGGCTTCAAAAACGTGTTAGCATTATAGATTAGTGGAAGTTTTTAGAAGACGTGATAGACTCCTAGCAAGAGGGGATCAGGTGACTTACACTTTCAAAAATCTATTTTTCTCTGTCTTTTTTTAAAGAAACAGGTTTACTAAGAGTTCTCCAGTGACATGTCTGTTGAGACAGCTGAAGTCGAGCGACTGAAGTGGAGAAAGATAGAAGTAGAAGACGTTGGAAAGATTACATTTGTCAGAGATACTCCACATGCAAAGACAAACCATTTTATCGAGCAAAGCAGGCCTTACTTCCCAAATGCAAAATTGCCAACCTACTTCGACAGTCAGTGTTGCAACTTCCTAACCTTCGCAAAATTGTTTTGTTTTGCGAGTCTCTTCGGCGCTTTGGCGGCTGCTGGTGTGTCACTGCTCATTCCTATTTTCTTCTTCATTGGTTGTTTGGCGCTTTTTGTCGTTTACTGCCAACACGAGAGAGTGAATCAGAAATCTCTGCCCACTGTCATGACACAGCCCGTCATTGCAAGTCAGAACTCCACAAACAGCTTCTATGAAGTTACTCTTACAGATCTTGACGGCATTGCTTTGCAGAATTACCAAGCTGGTGTCGGCTTCATCACTGTTTCCCAGGGAAAGGTCAGGTTCCAGGCCTTCAACACTAAAGCGATAGCATACATGATGAGCGCAAGGTGCCAGTCTCGCCTGATGATGATTCTCTTCTTAGCGTGCTCTGTTTATAACTGTTACTTCGTGGTCGCTTACTCCCAGTATGGATTAAATGCTCACTGAGAAAGAAAAAAAAGGAAAATGAAAAAAAGCGAAGAGGAGCTTGGAAAGGATTGCTTTTGTAGTTTATTTCCTGGAAAATACTTCATTCTAGAGACTTTGTAACCAGTAAGCTTTGTACTTTTAACCATACTAGATATAAGGACTATCCGACATTTTCTTTTAAACAATTACGTGTTTGCCTGTTTATTGCCAACCTGTCTTTTACATCCTACATTATCTTTTTATTACAATGATAAATGTAGCTAAAGCAAAGGGAAACACAGCAAGCTCTAAAGGGCTTTAATTGACGTTCGGCAACGATTTCTCAGTCTACATAGTTGGAAAAAGGGTGGCATAATAAGTTACACTTTACATATAAATCAAGGTATCAAAGAGAAATATTACCTGATTGCTAATCTATGTATATGTTATATCGCACCTGATACGAAGAAAAAGTAGCTAGTCTAGAAACGAAATTAGAATGATGCCGAACAACGAGGCAAAGTGTCAGTTTAAGCTGATGAGTGTAAAGAATCGATATCGAGACCAATTTGACTAAGAACACAGACGGCTTCATTCTATGATTCTCAGCGATATGTTAGATTCGTTAATCCTGGAATTATTGGCCAGGAATTATATCCTTATCGTATCTGTGTGTTTATATAGCCTCAATACTCAGGCTTGTAGGACACTTACATTATAGACGACATAGACCTTAGGTCTTTGAAATAATTAAAGCATATCAAGAGTTTTTCTGCTTCATTCCATTGCAATACACAACAAATCAGTAGCTAGCCTGCGAGCAAGCTCTCTATTTGTGGCGAGCGAAGAGAGCTGCGAGAGGCGGAGGAAAAGGAGAGCTCTCCCTTTCTTTCCCCACCCCACTCGCAACTCCTTTCGCGTACTGTTCTAGCGTGAGGACAAATGTAAAGCAAGGGACACAGATACACTACCCAACCGCCTTGCCAGTACCTCACGCATGCGCACAGCCATATCCCCCCCCGGGCAGTGACAGCCATGGACAGTTGCTTCGCCAGGCCGTGGGTTGGTGTATGTGTGCCTCTTGCTTTAAGTTTGTATTTACTGACACACAGATCAGGGTAACTCCTGATCCGCCTTTCCCATGCACGTCGTGGGAGAACTGCAGTGCGGTTCCCAGCTAACAGCTTCCCCATGGTTGAGTGGAGCTGGCGCCTTGAGTTCTTTGCACTCGCCTTAAAGGGTCCCTAATACACGGGTTCTACGCACCCACCTCCCAGCAAGGTCAGCTTCTTTGTTTTCAGTCGGCCAATGAACGAAGCGCTGCAGGAAACCATCCAGACGCGGGGCTTGTGAAAGTTTGTTGTCATGGCCAGGCAGGTAATTAAGTTTGTAATTGTTACTTACCATTCACGTGAAAAAAACAAAACAAAAACAAAAACAAAAACAAAAAAATATAGTATAGAGCGAAGAAATGTCACCCTCTCCCGGTGAGTTATTATTTGACGCTAGCGCCCAGTCACCGCCGAACGACAAAACGGTTGAAATGTTACACTTTACTAGTCACGGATAAATGGCGCCGATTTTTCAACTGTAGTGGATCTTTTCGATCGAGTTTTGCGATCCAAACGCAAGGTTTACCGGAACGGATTGCAGGAAGGTGATCTTAAGGTATCACCTTGTGGATTCGGCGGCGTAAAATGTAAGTGTATTTGTTTTTTCGCGCGAAATTTGGAGCTGATTCTGAGCAGCTTTGAAGATCGATTGATTGACGAGATTGTTGACGAGCTTCGCTTTGCATGCTTCTGTACTCCTTGAAGTGAAGGAAGCACTCGAGAGCAGCCGAAGAATGAAGCCGCCCCAGCGGTACTCTTTTGTGTTACACATACATCTTTCGCACATGAGGCAGTTAGACTGTAGCCGATAAGAAAACCAATGACTGCCGACACACACAGCACTGTAAGAGCCGCAGAATGTCGAAAAATCCAAAGAAGTCGTTCCCACAACCCAAGGAGATGGATTATCATGTCGATCAAGGCGTTGATGAAGGCAGTCGACGCAACAGTACCGAAGAAACTGAACTTCAGGGCACAGCTACAAGTGTTGACATAGGAGAGAACTGAAGAACCGCATGTACCAGCTAGGGGTGTAAAAACTAGCTCTCCGACTTTCAGCTTTCCTACCCAAGTTTTAATGATATAGTCCAAAGCAGCCTGTTGGGCCGCCATTTTCTCGAAACGGAAAAAGTAGGGCGCGAGAGGAGGTTAACTTTAAGGTTAACTTAAAGCCTGTTTATGACGCTCAACCAATAAGATTTCACCGCGTACAAAAACCTAAATGGTGGCAAAACAGTGAGAAGAGTGGGGACAATTTTCCTGTCTGACAGTTGTTTACGAATGTATAAATTTTACCCGGGTTCCGTCAGTTTGGGAGGACACACTCGGATCACGCCAATAAATTATAAAGGACGCCGAGAAAATATGCAGTTCGACGTTCGAAGGTGAGGTTTTGCATAGTTCCCTTGTATAGATACAGCAATTCGGATGTTTGCTCTACAAAAAGCAGGTGAAAAAGGTTTTGTCCAAATTTCTCCCCAAAATAAACCGAGCCACGTGTCAAAACATAGCGGTTTGTCGATTGAATACGCTTAATTCCTTACCACTTTTCAAGTTTTTGGTAAGAATATGTTCAAATGCCATGCTTGCAACACGTGGGTTTCGTTTTAAAATTTACCCACCGCTACTCAAGTAGTCAGTTTTCAACTAAAATTTATATAGTTGCTAGGCTGTTTTAGTAAGCTTACCTGACGAGCTCTTTTCAGCTGCTTCATACAATTATTCAAGGATTAGCGCTTTTTTGAGGGATAAATTAAATTTCTTATTTTGGTTAAATATTATTTAATGCACTGGTGTTGTGCAGCTGCCTGGTAAATTGAGAGCTGTTTCATAGCCTCACCAAATAAACTTGAGCCACGTACATCTAAAAATAAATGGTGGATATAGCGCCGTCTGGCATTCTAGAAAAATAATATAATTGCTATTAATATTTCATAAATTCTTTAATTGCAGAACTAGTGAGATTTATACATCAGCAAGAGCCATAATAGGACAGAGAGAGAGAGTCTAAGGGCGTTGGGTGGGATATCTTAATTTCAAAAAAGTTATTTTTAGAACTATGCGGACCACGTGGAAACAGTTTCCGGTAAACTGGCTGACTTCCGGAAGACTCGCTTTCACGATTCAGCGCGCCAAAGCGAGGCGGCGTCAACAAATAAAAAAAATGGCGGCACAAGTGGAGGGACGATGTGGAGTTGATAAATTGGCCTTCTTCAACAAAGAACCTACCATAGAAATTGCTTAAAACTTCTATACAAAAGGGTCCTTTACAAGCAACGGTAGAAATCGGTTAAAGCGACCGCGTGACGATCGTTTTTGTTTGAACAGCTGGAAAGAGGCGCGCGGGTCCTACAAAGACGACCGTACAAGCAACCGTGTGGACGTATTTTCTATTGACTCTAGGCTTTAGGGTCAAAATTGCACATTTTTCAAGACTCTATTGTCTCGTNCTTCCGGAAGACTCGCTTTCACGATTCAGCGCGCCAAAGCGAGGCGGCGTCAACAAATAAAAAAAATGGCGGCACAAGTGGAGGGACGATGTGGAGTTGATAAATTGGCCTTCTTCAACAAAGAACCTACCATAGAAATTGCTTAAAACTTCTATACAAAAGGGTCCTTTACAAGCAACGGTAGAAATCGGTTAAAGCGACCGCGTGACGATCGTTTTTGTTTGAACAGCTGGAAAGAGGCGCGCGGGTCCTACAAAGACGACCGTACAAGCAACCGTGTGGACGTATTTTCTATTGACTCTAGGCTTTAGGGTCAAAATTGCACATTTTTCAAGACTCTATTGTCTCGTAATTCCCAAAAAAAGACTTGAGCACAAAGAAAAGCAAACAAAAAAATGACCAGAAAGCTTCGGATTCATGTTAGAATTTTAATATATCGAACGTGAGCTATTGCGCATGGGGTTCTCCGTAGAGGGTATCGCCTGGTAATCCTTATTCCATCTTTAGCGTGTCGTCACGAGCGTTTTGGGATGCGGACGAGAACGATAATGTCAAAAAAACAATAGGTTTATAAGCAAAACAACAACTTTGCACGTGCATTACATTTGCTTGTAAATTTCTTTTCGCGTTTTTGCACGACTACGACGTGAAAATGCCTAATTTCGCGTTTTATGGAGAACATAAACAAGCAACGACGAAATTTAATTTCTCTTTCTGAACTTGGATATGGTCTCTAGGAATTCAAATCCAGGAGGGTTGGCCTACATTTGACAAAGTTAGACGGTAGGAATAATTGCGATAATGCCTAAAAGAACGCAAATTCTCTTTTTAAGCGACGTTATTGTTGACGTCGCGTCGTTGGATCTTAAAGTCACTATTTTGTTCGACAGTGGGATGCCCGTTGTGTTGTGGCATCTGTTAGGGATAGTCAGCTGGTTGTCCATTCGTAAATCTTCTGTTGCCTTCTGCGTTTTACGTCCTTTGGTGTTCATTGGCGTTGTTAAATTGCTTTTTTGTTCTATCCCCGCCACCCCTTACAAAAGTGCATGACAGGACAAACAACTAGAAAGCGGAAAACGCCACAGTCGGAATAGTTAAAAGACCCTAGAGACACTGACTAAGCAATTACAAATCATTAGTACCGACTACTGCAAGCCAATTGAAGAGACAGACAAAGGACCGGGAGCACCCCACGACACTGATGGCGCGCTATGGGATAGAATAGAAGGGCCAAACAGCGACGCAGGGGGCCAACAACCTACATATTACCCCGGCGACTTTTGGCGTGCTTGTGCACCCATCCTGAATTGAAATTGATGTTGTACCGTGCTGTGGTCTTGTGTTGGTGTTCTCTGTGTGAAATGGCTGACGTGGCATTGGACTCCGCTGCATACAGCCGCCTCGAAAAGAAAAAAAAATTTAGGTCTCTAACATTGCCCGCGGGACAAGGGTAGCCCTCTCGGGACTTTGACACTCTCTCAGCTGCTTCGCGGCCTAAAAAGTTCACTCCGCTCAGAAACCTAGTAATCGGTTCCTGCTCCACTAGATTTTCAGCTTTTTGGCTGTGAAGCACGTGAGGTCGACTTGTTTTAAGTCTAATTTCCTCTTAGCCTCTCTCAAAATATGAAGAATTATTGAAGCGAACTACAGGGGTCTCTTCCAAGAAGAGGTCCGAAGATGGTTTCCGGGAGAGTTCACAATAAAGTATCTCTATGAATATCTATGTAAAATTCCGCAAAGCTCCCCTGCAGTGCATTTACTGACTTCCGTGAGGTAAGTTCATCTCGTTCTTTAATTGTCTAAGAGCTCTCTGAGGAAATGTCTGTTGAGAGAATTGAACTCGGACAAGTCAAGCACACCAAGATAGAGGTGAAAGAAGTTACTAAAAAAGTTGTTACAATCAGAGATGAAGCGCATGCACAAGCAAACCATTACATCAAACAAAGCAGGCCATATTTTCCGCAGGAAAAGTTGCCCATTTACATCGACTGTCCCTACTTCTTAAAGTTCGCAAGAGTATTTTGTCTTGCGAGTGTTCTCGGCATCTGGAAGGTAAGTGGTGGATCGGTGATTATGCAAGTCGTCCTCTTCATCGGTTGCTTGGCGTTTTTGACAGTTTACGGCCAACATGAGCTGGTGAATCAGAGATCTTTACCGACTGTTTTGAAGCAGCCCATCCTCGCAAGCCAGAAACACAGCAACGCCTTTTACGAAGTCACTGTAACAGATCTTGAGGGAATTGCTTTGCAGAATTATCAAGCTGGTGTTGGCTTTGTCAGTGTGTCTCAGGGAAAGATCAAGATCCAGGCCTTCAACAAGACAGCGAAGAAAGAAATGAGAAGTGCAATTTGCAATTCTCGCTTGATGATGGTTCTCTTCAGCGTAGGCGCTGTTTACAACTGTTTCTTCTTGGTTATTTACTCTTGACTGATAAACAAGTGCTGGGTACGTACTTTTTTTACTCAAAGAATCTGACATCAAACAGAAAGTGGTCTAAGAAGTATGAAACGAGGAACAACTAGCCAAATGTTCTCAGCTGATCTATGACTGTATAATCAGACAGTTATAAAGTCACAGAAACTTCTACATTAGCCGAGAGAAAAGACTTCATTTGTCTGTATAAGCCAAATGTTTAATCGGTTTGTGTTCGTTTTATCAGTAAATTTGTTATTCTTGATATTATCCTGAATATATCTGCATATTTATTTGGCAAAAAACGCTCTCAGGCGTATTAGGTATTCCTAGAAATGTTCAGTAACACGTTGAATAATAAGAAGGGTGTTATCAGAAAGTTTCAAGACTAAGGGGCTGGTTACAAGAACGATGAGTGGTCGAGTTTTTTAAAACTGATTATGATTGTAAGACAGTTATAAAGTCTTATATCAAAAGAATAGAATTTCAAAGCAAAGAATTCCCATGTGTCATGGTACGAAAATCAGGGCTTAGCTTGTAACCAGTGCTTATTAATCCATGACGGTACACTTGTACAATGCATTGTTAGAGATAGTACGAGGTGGGCCTTCTCTACCGAAAATTTACCCCGCAATGTCGATTGTGGAACACAGGGGCGACTGCAAGCAGGATACACGTTTTCTGTCAATGTACTTTGAATTTTTGATAATGGTCTTGAAACAAGAACCGAAATATTACGTTTATTTATTTTGTGCCATTTCCTGTTTATACTTATATATTTTAAGTTAGCAAGATATTTTTTGGAGTTGTTTTTGTATCATATTTTCTTCATTTGTCGGAGGGTAAAGGATACTTTGAATTTTCTGCGTCAATTCGTGAAGGGCGTGGGTCATTCACGCGGAACACATTCGCGCTATGTGATTGGCTGTTGTCTAATCCCCCTTGGGATCTGTGGTCTTAAAAATAACTCGAGACGAATTACCTATGGAATAGGGTGTGTACGGGGGATGCCTTCTCTGTCTCCTTTATCCTCTCTTGGTTAAAGACACTACTGACGCTTGGATAGTTTACAATAGGTTTATTAAGTTCATTCACCCCGCTTAAACTACTATTTTTCTGACACTCGTCAGTTCTGTTATGCCAAACTTTCATTCAGAATCTTCTTGAGTCGTTGGTTTCCTTTTTTTCTTTTTCCAAAGTGGCCTCTACTCGTTGTCTTTGCTCTGTGGTTTCCTTTAATAATATCTTCTTTTGCTTCAATGTCTGTCTCAGCTCTGTCAGCCTTTGCAACGCATTAGCTCTACTACCTTTCATCTGTGATATTTCTCGCTGCATGGTTTTTTTCTCCCTGATTATTGTACTAGTGATGTTTTGAATACCCGTCTTTGCATCCTCAAGAGCTGCGTGATCAGAGTCCATCTGCTTTGCGAGCTCTGTAATTTGCTTTCTTATTTCTTTTTGTTTGCTTCTCACTTTGCCTTGCTCCAGAACAATTTCTTCCAGAGCTAAAATCTCAGCTTTTAATCCTCTCCGCTGCGTACAGCCACCTCGAATCAAAAGAAAACGTTTATGTCCCTAATAGTGCCAGCGGAACAAGGGTAGACCTCTCGGGACTTTGGCACACGCTCAGCTTCTTCGCAGCCGAAAAAGTTCGCTCTGCTCAGGAACCTAGTAATCGGTTCCTGCTCCACTATATTTTCAGGCTGACATGTAAATGTTTGTAACGTTCAATTTTAGACCCAATAATTTACGCATAACGTTACTGAGTATTCTAAACTGTACAGTTAAAACTCGGGTTGACATATAAATGTTTATAACGTTTGCGCATTGAGTTCTAAACGTTTGCGAACGGACCAGAGACGTTTTCGAAACGACCGTTGGCGAAACGACTCGTTGGCGAAACGACCGGTTTCTAATCTCCTCTAAGCGTCTATCAAAATGCGACGATCTATTGAAACGAACCACAGGGGTCTCTTCCGAGAAGAGGCCCGAAGATGGTTTCCGGGAGAGTTCACAATAAAGTATCTCTATGAATATCTATGTAAAATTCCACAAAGCTCCCCTGCATTGCATTTGCTGACTTCCGTGAGGTAAGTTCATCTCGTTCTTTAATAGTCTAAGAGCTCTCTGAGGAAATGTCTGTTGAGAGAATTGAACTCGGACAGGTCAAGCACACCAAAATAGAGGTGGAAGAAGTTCAATGTAGAAGTGTTACAATCAGAGATGAAGCGCATGCACAAGCAAACTTTTACATCAAACAAAGCAGGCCATATTTTCCGCAGGAAAAGTTGCCCATTTACATCGACTGTCCCTACTTCTTAAAGTTCGCAAGAGTATTTTGTCTTGCGAGTGTTCTCGGCATCTGGAAGGTAAGTGGTGAGAAGTCACTGTAACAGATCTTGAGGGAATTGCTTTGCAGAATTATCAAGCTGGTGTTGGCTTTGTCAGTGTGTCTCAGGGAAAGATCAAGATCCAGGCCTTCAACAAGACAGCGAAGAAAGAAATGAGAAGTGCAATTTGCAATTCTCGCTTGATGATGGTTCTCTTCAGCGTAGGCGCTGTTTACAACTGTTTCTTCTTGGTTATTTACTCTTGACTGATAAACAAGTGCTGGGTACGTACTTTTTTTACTCAAAGAATCTGACATCAAACAGAAAGTGGTCTAAGAAGTATGAAACGAGGAACAACTAGCCAAATGTTCTCAGCTGATCTATGACTGTATAATCAGACAGTTATAAAGTCACAGAAACTTCTACATTAGCCGAGAGAAAAGACTTCATTTGTCTGTATAAGCCAAATGTTTAATCGGTTTGTGTTCGTTTTATCAGTAAATTTGTTATTCTTGATATTATCCTGAATATATCTGCATATTTATTTGGCAAAAAACGCTCTCAGGCGTATTAGGTATTCCTAGAAATGTTCAGTAACACGTTGAATAATAAGAAGGGTGTTATCAGAAAGTTTCAAGACTAAGGGGCTGGTTACAAGAACGATGAGTGGTCGAGTTTTTTAAAACTGATTATGATTGTAAGACAGTTATAAAGTCTTATATCAAAAGAATAGAATTTCAAAGCAAAGAATTCCCATGTGTCATGGTACGAAAATCAGGGCTTAGCTTGTAACCAGTGCTTATTAATCCATGACGGTACACTTGTACAATGCATTGTTAGAGATAGTACGAGGTGGGCCTTCTCTACCGAAAATTTACCCCGCAATGTCGATTGTGGAACACAGGGGCGACTGCAAGCAGGATACACGTTTTCTGTCAATGTACTTTGAATTTTTGATAATGGTCTTGAAACAAGAACCGAAATATTACGTTTATTTATTTTGTGCCATTTCCTGTTTATACTTATATATTTTAAGTTAGCAAGATATTTTTTGGAGTTGTTTTTGTATCATATTTTCTTCATTTGTCGGAGGGTAAAGGATACTTTGAATTTTCTGCGTCAATTCGTGAAGGGCGTGGGTCATTCACGCGGAACACATTCGCGCTATGTGATTGGCTGTTGTCTAATCCCCCTTGGGATCTGTGGTCTTAAAAATAACTCGAGACGAATTACCTATGGAATAGGGTGTGTACGGGGGATACCTTCTCTGTCCCCTTTATCCTCTCTTGGTTAAAGACACTACTGACGCTTGGATAGTTTACAATAGGTTTATTAAGTTCATTCACCCCGCTTAAACTACTATTTTTCTGACACTCGTCAGTTCTGTTATGCCAAACTTTCATTCAGAATCTTCTTGAGTCGTTGGTTTCCTTTTTTTCTTTTTCCAAAGTGGCCTCTACTCGTTGTCTTTGCTCTGTGGTTTCCTTTAATAATATCTTCTTTTGCTTCAATGTCTGTCTCAGCTCTGTCAGCCTTTGCAACGCATTAGCTCTACTACCTTTCATCTGTGATATTTCTCGCTGCATGGTTTTTTTCTCCCTGATTATTGTACTAGTGATGTTTTGAATACCCGTCTTTGCATCCTCAAGAGCTGCGTGATCAGAGTCCATCTGCTTTGCGAGCTCTGTAATTTGCTTTCTTATTTCTTTTTGTTTGCTTCTCACTTTGCCTTGCTCCAGAACAATTTCTTCCAGAGCTAAAATCTCAGCTTTTAATCCTCTCCGCTGCGTACAGCCACCTCGAATCAAAAGAAAACGTTTATGTCCCTAATAGTGCCAGCGGAACAAGGGTAGACCTCTCGGGACTTTGGCACACGCTCAGCTTCTTCGCAGCCGAAAAAGTTCGCTCTGCTCAGGAACCTAGTAATCGGTTCCTGCTCCACTATATTTTCAGGCTGACATGTAAATGTTTGTAACGTTCAATTTTAGACCCAATAATTTACGCATAACGTTACTGAGTATTCTAAACTGTACAGTTAAAACTCGGGTTGACATATAAATGTTTATAACGTTTGCGCATTGAGTTCTAAACGTTTGCGAACGGACCAGAGACGTTTTCGAAACGACCGTTGGCGAAACGACTCGTTGGCGAAACGACCGGTTTCTAATCTCCTCTAAGCGTCTATCAAAATGCGACGATCTATTGAAACGAACCACAGGGGTCTCTTCCGAGAAGAGGCCCGAAGATGGTTTCCGGGAGAGTTCACAATAAAGTATCTCTATGAATATCTATGTAAAATTCCACAAAGCTCCCCTGCATTGCATTTGCTGACTTCCGTGAGGTAAGTTCATCTCGTTCTTTAATAGTCTAAGAGCTCTCTGAGGAAATGTCTGTTGAGAGAATTGAACTCGGACAGGTCAAGCACACCAAAATAGAGGTGGAAGAAGTTCAATGTAGAAGTGTTACAATCAGAGATGAAGCGCATGCACAAGCAAACTTTTACATCAAACAAAGCAGGCCATATTTTCCGCAGGAAAAGTTGCCCATTTACATCGACTGTCCCTACTTCTTAAAGTTCGCAAGAGTATTTTGTCTTGCGAGTGTTCTCGGCATCTGGAAGGTAAGTGGTGGATCGGTGATTATGCAAGTCGTCCTCTTCATCGGTTGCTTGGCGTTTTTGACAGT